AACTGTTCAAGATCTTTCAGCAGAATCTCCTTTCCAGTCCACTCAATGCCATTGGTACCAATGTTGACAATGACAATTGGATCTCTCTCCAAGTTCCTCGTCAGCTCCAAGGAGATGTCTTCAACCCTGGGTGATCCTGGGAGAGAACGGAGGTGGGGGGTGATCCAGGGAGTGAGCGGCGATGGGGGGAGTGATCCTGTGGGTGAACGGGTGGCTGGGGGATGATCGTGGGGGTGAATGGAGGGATGGGTGATCCTGGGATTGAATGAAGGTGGGGGAGTGACCCTGGGATGAATGGGGCAGGGGGGTGATCCTGGGGGTGAATGGGGGGAGTGGTTGTGACTCTGGGCGTGGGGGGGGGGGGGGGGGGGGTGAAGGGGGGAGGGGGGGGTGACCCGGGGAGGGAAGAGGGGGGGGGGGGTAACCCTGGAGGTGAATGGGGGTGAACCCAGGGGTGGAGCTCTAGATGTGATATCATGACTCAAAGTGATGTGGGATTGGCTGTTTGGGAACCAAGTTTAGAGACTGATTAATACCAGGAGAGAGTTAGAGAGTAAAGTCCTTAGTCTGGTTTGGTGAGTAGTGGGTAAGATTGAGTGGTTGGTTCTTTAATCATTGTCTGTAGTTAGTAGGGGGTTGGGAAAAGGCTGGGACAGCTTTAGGGACAAGGGAGTCAATTGTAAAGAGGCAGCGAACAAGACTCTCGCCTGGGATGTTGCCTCCATGGTGCCAGGGTAGGGGATGTCGCAGAGTGGTTCTTGAAGGAGGGAGTATGAATAGGCAGCAGTTGTGGTCCTAACAATATATATTAAAAAAAGGAAATGAGGTCCTGAGGCAGAAATTTAGAGTTAGGTAGTAGGTTAAAGAGGAGGACGGCTAAAGTTGTGATGTCCAGATTTGTTCCAAAGCCAAGTGTGACTGAGTGTAGGAATTGGGAGATGGGTCCCGATGAACATGTGGCTGAAGGGATTGTGCTGGAGGGAGGACTTTTGGTTTATGGATCATTGAGACCGTTTCTAGATTAAGTGGGACCTGCAAACTGGACAGGTTGCACCAGAACTAGAATGGGTCCAATATCCTGACTGGAAGGTTTTCTCCTGCCGTACAGAACGTTTTAAACTGATTTGACAGGGGGCTGGGGCACAGATTAGATGTAAAGTCAAGAGCAATGTCCAATCAGATGTAAAAGGAATACTAGGACAGTCCGGCAGGCAGAGGAGGCATGGGCAGGATAAGGCGAATGGGAGGACTAGAAGGATAAATTGTACCTATTTTATTGCAAGGAGCCTGACTGGTAAGGCAGATGAACTTAGAGCATTGATCAGCACATGGGAATATGAGACTGTTGCAATCACTGAGACATGGTTGAAGGAAGGGCAGGACTGGTAGCTCCACATTCCAGTGAGATAGAAGTTTCAGGCACGACGGGGACGGCGTGGAGGGGTGTGAGAGAGATGGGTTCATTGTGTTAAAGAAAGCTATTACTGAGGGAGGATGTCATAGAAGGCTCTTCAAATGAGACCATCTGGATAGAGTTTAGAAATTAAACAAAGGGGGATTTTTTTGGGGGATTACACTACAGGAGTCACCAAAGTCAGAGGGAGATAGAGGAGCACATATGGAAGCAAATCACAGAGAAGTGTGAGAGGAATAGGGGTACGGTTGTAGGGGATTTCAACTTTGCTAACATTAAGTGAGGTCGCCTTGGTGTGAAAGGATCAGACAGGGTGGATTTTTAAAGTACATCAGGAGAGCTTTTTGTTTCAGTGTGTAGGTAATCTGACTAGAGATGGGGCAAGGCTAGACCTATTTCTAGGGAATGAAGCTGGATAAGTGTTTGAAGAGAAAGTGATAAGGATCGTGCAGAAATTAAGTGTCCAAATTGGGGAAAAGTCAATTTCAATATAGAGTCATACAGCCCAGAAATAAACCCTTCGATCTGATTCATCCACACTGACAGGGCATCCCATTCTGATCTACTCCCATTTGCCAGCATTTAGCCCATATCCCTCTAAACCCTTCCTATTCATATACCCACCAAGATCCTTTCAAATGTTGTAATTGTACCAGCCTCCACCACTTCCTCTGGCAGTTCATTCCATACACGCACCACCCTCTGCATGGAAAAGTTGCCCCTTAGGTCCTTTTTAAATCTTACCCCTCTCACCTTAAACCTATGCCCTCTAGTTTTGAACTCCCTTACCCTGTGGAAAAGACCTTGGCTATTCACCCTATCCATGCCCCTCATGACTTTATAAACCTCTATATGGGCATCCCTCAATCTCCAATGTTCCAGGGAAAAAAGCCTCAGCCTATTCAGTCTCTCCCTTTAGCTTAAACCCTCCACATTAGACAGGATCTGGATAACATAGACTGGGTGCAGCAACTTTCAGGTAAGTCTACATTTGGAAAGGAGTCTTTTAAAAGTAGTGTAATGAGAATTCAGGGCCTGTGTGCTCCTCTGAGAGTGAAGGACTGGGGTGGCAAGTCCAGGGAACGCTGGATATCAAGGATATTGAGAGTTTGGTAAAGAAAAAGGAGGAAGCATATGTCAGATACAGGGCATTAAAAACAGAGAAGGCCCTTCAAGAGAATAGAGAGTGTAGGAGCTTACTTATTGAAGAAATTAGGAGGGCAAAAAGGGGCCACAATATATCTTTGGCACATGGCATCAAGAAATCCCCCCATGGCCTTTTATATGTGCATTAAGAATAAGAAGATTACCAGGGAAGGAGTGGGACCTATGATAGACCAAAGGGGCAAAGTGTGTATGGAGCCAGTGGATGTGGGTGTGATATTAAGTGAAAATCTCTCATCTGCCTTCACAAAGTGAAAGACCTTGTTGCTGAGCTGGTACTCTGAGGTTCTAGAACATGTTAAGATTAATAAAGAGGAGGTATTGGATGTTTTAGCGGGCATACAGATGCGTAAATCCCCAGGCCCTGACGAGGTATATCCCTGGCTGCAATGGGAGGCAAGGGAGGAGATTACTGGGGCTCTGGGGGAGATATTCAATACTTCGCTGGTCACAGGTGAAGTGCCAGATGACTGGAGGTTAGCGGATGTGATTCCTTTGTCCAAGAAAGGCAGCAGGGAAAGGCTGGGTTAGTCTGATATCATTGGCAGGAAAATTATTGGCAAAATTTCTGAGGGACAGGATCAATCAACACTTGGAAAGGCAGGGATTGATCAGGGATAGATAGTCAGCACTGATTTGTTAGAGGGAGATCCCTTCTGACTAATTTAATTGAGTTTTTTGAAAAAGTGACTAAATATATTAATGAGGATAGGGCAGTTGATGTGTTTACATGGACTTCAGTAAGGCCTTTGACAAGGTTCCACATGGAAGACTGATCCAAAAGGTAAGGGCCCATGGAATCCAGGGCAAGTTGGCAAACTGGATCCAAAATTGGCTTGCAAATATGTGATGGTGGAGAGATGTTTTCATGACAGGAAGCCTGTGACCAGCAGTGTACCACAGGAATCGGTGCTGGAACCCTTGCTGCTTGTTACATACATTAACAACTTGCATGTGAATGTAGAAAATATAATTAGTAAGTTGGCAAATGACAAGAAAATTGGTGGTGCTGTTGATAGTGAGGAGGATGGTTTCAGACTACAGTCTGATGTTGATCACCTGGTAAATTGGACAGGGCAATGGCAGATGGAATTTAATCCTGAAAAGTATGAAGTGATGCATTTTGGGAGGTCTAATAAGGGAAGGATTTACACAATGAATGGTAGGTCCCTGGGGAATACTGAGGAACAACAGGACTTTGGTGTGCAAATCCATAGATCCCTCAAGGTTTTAGCACAGGTAGACAGGGTGGTGAAGAAGGAAAACAGATGCTTGTCTTCATTAGCCGGGATGTAGAATATAGGAGCAAGAAAGTCTTGTTGCAACTTCATAAAAGATTGGTTAGGCCACAGATGGAGTTCTGTGTGCAGTTCTGGTTGTCACACTATTGGAAGGACGTGATTGCACTGAAAATGGTGCAGAGGAGATTCAGCAGGAATTTGCCGTGGATGGAAAGTCTTAGTTATGAGGAGGGACTGGACAGGCTGAGTTTGTTTTCCTTGAAGCAGAGTAGATGGAGGGCGAATTTGTTTAAGATATATATAAAATTATGAGAGGCATAGACAGGGTGGATTGTGAGAATCTCTTTCCCACAGCAGCCATGTTTAAGACCAAAGAGCACAAGTTTAAGGTGAGGAGTAAGTGGTTTAGAGGAGATCTAAGAAAGAATTTTTTCCACCCAGAGAGTGGCAGATATGTGGGAGGCACTGTCTGAGACGATGGTGGAGACAGGTGCTCTCACAATATTTAGAAACTTCTAGATAATTAAAATGGCGGGTATAGTCGGCTATTGACCAAGTGAAAGTAAATGGGATGAATGCAGTTTGGTACTGAACAAAAAAAAACAGAAGAACTGCAGATGCTGGAAATCAGAAGCAAAAACAGAAATTGTGGGAAAACTCTTTTCCCAGAACTTCAGGAGGTTCTGAAGAAGGGTCACTGGTCCCAAGATGTTAATTCTGATTTCTCCCTTCACAGACACTGCTAGACCACATAGTTTTCCCAGCAATTTCTGATCTTGTTAGTGTAGTTTGTTGTTTGTTTGTTAGCAGAAACATGGTGGGCCAAAGGGCCGGTTTCTGTGCTGCATCACCCTAGGCCTCTAATAGATCAACATTAACCCTTTCAGAACCACAGAACATGACAGTCACATTCCAAAAATATATTATAGAAGAGGGTATTGCCATTTCTGACATAGTCTGACCAATATGAAGACTTATAAGCAAATACTTCAGGCTTATTCTCCAGCTTTTGGGGGGAAATCTTGATTTCTCAAATCAGCTGTAATTGATACAGTTTCTTGTTTGACTGTGACCTGGGTTGGAGGTTGCTGGCAGGATCACATGACTGGCCATCAGAAGGGGACATTACACAACCACCATCCACAAAAAGGAAGTTGGCGCAGTGACAGAGTTCCTCTTCCCATTTCTTGGCAAACGGAGCAGGGTGAGGCAGAATGCTGCTTTCTGTGAGGATCCTGGTCTGTCTGTTTCTGTACACTCAGCAAGGTAGGCTGTCACTTTTGATGGGACGATGTGACGTTGAGGACGGTAACTGGACTCTCTTCCAGTCTGGGAGCTGAGAGGTGGCAGCCAGGCCCAGTGCCTGAAACAAGTGAGAATAACCTGACACGCTGGGCCTAAGTTTCAACCAGCTCCTGAAGGTGGGCAGGAGGGTGGCAGTCTGTGCGTGGGGTATGGTTCATGGTCTACATTTATTGATCTTTATTCATTCGTGGGATGTGGGCATCACTGAGAGGGCCAGCATTTAATGCCCATCCCTGATAACCATTGAACTGAGTGACATTCTGGGCTATTTCAGAGGGCAATTAAGAGTTAGCCATACTGCTCTGGGGCTGGAGTCATATGTAGGCCAGAACAGGTAAGGATAACAGACTTCCTTCCCTAAAGGGACATTAGTCAAGGCAGCACAGTGGCTCGATGGTTAGCGCTGCTGCCTCACAACGCCATGGGACCTGGGTTCAATTCCATCTCGGGTGACTATCTGTGTGGAGTTTGCACATTCTCACTGTGTCTGCGTGGGTTTTCCCTAAATACTCCGGTTTCCACCCACAATTTGAAGATGTGCAGGTTAGGTCGACTGGCCATGCTAAATTGCCCATAGTGGTCAGGGATGTGTAGGCTAGGTGGATGAGCCATGGGAAATGCAGGGTTTCAGGGACTGGGTAGGGGAATGGGTCGGGGAATGGGTCTGCGTGGGATGCTCTGAGGGTCGGTGTGGACATGTTGGGCCGAAGGGCCTGCTTCCACACTGTAGGGATTCTATAGTGAACCAGATGGGCCTCTAGAGCAATCGATGATGGTTGCCATGGTCACCATCACAGAGACCAGCTTTCAATTGCAGATTTATTCATCGAGTTTAAATTCCACTGTCTGCTGACCCATCCCTAACTGCTGCAAGGCTTCCAGTGGACATCAGGCACTCCCTTTCCACAGAGCCCCCGGCAAAGATGTTAATGAGGAAGGCAGGCAGCAAGATGGGACCCTTACAACCTCCTGCCCCAGGTCCCTGATGGGAAGTGGGAGGATACGCATGTAAAGAGCAGCCCCCCACCAACTCGGGGCATGGAGGTAAAACAGACACCAAAGGTATGTCCAGGCAATGGAGGGGGGTGTCAAAACAGATGGTGTTCAGCAGCAACCACCTGGTTAGGAAACAGGAATGTCATGGGGACATTCCCATTGTGGGGCACAGGATCCTGATGGAGGTCAGAGGTCAGCTCTATTTTTAAAAAAAGATCTGGGGCCAAGTGGAACTTGAACCCAGGCCTCCTGCCTACAAGGCAAGAATACTACCACTGCGCTAAAAGAGCTCCCAGACATCAGCTCTGTTATGGACCAGACCAAACCCCTTCAAAATATATTCAACTGATTGTCTAGACCCCAAAAGTTTCTTATTTTAAAAGGTATGTATGAAGTGTTCTGTTCTAGATGCAATTCAATTGGTCAAACTGCTCAACCAAAACAGACTTTATTCATACACTGGCATTAAAATGCAACAAAAGAAAGAAGAAATTGGAATAACTAACTCTATTGGAAAACTTAACAGGATGGTAGATTATTTAACAACTAAGCAGTAATTATTCCAAATATAGTAACATCCCATAAACACATCCTTGACAAAAGCAAATTCAGTAAAATAGATTGTCTCACGTACAATTTTAGCAGCAGGAAGAGAACCCCAGCTTTTAGCTGTAACTGAGAGAGGAAAAATAGCTTCCACATCCAACTTCTGGATCCCACTAGCAGCTACTACTGGAAAACTAAAATGAAAAATCCTGGTTCTGTGGGAGCTTGACCCCACCCATTCAGGCTGCTTCTATTGTTCCAACTTCTAAAAAAAACCAAGGCCTCACAAATTATTTACTATAGTAACTCTGAGCAGACTGCTCAATACCTCAGTCTCAACCTTTCATAAGAAAACTCAGGACTAAATATACCTCTTAAAGCCATAGCTTTAGTCATGAAGTCACAACTCTTAAGTACAATGAGCATCACATGCTCTCAATCAGCTCTGAAACAGCAGGTTGTTGCTGGGTATGGAAGGTTTGAGTTATAAAGAAAGGCAGGATTGGCTGAGAGTTTTTTCACTGGAGAGTAGGAGGTTGAGAGGTGACCTTATTGAAGTTTATAAAATCATGAGGGTATAGGTAGGGTTAATTGTAGTTATCTTTTCCCTAGGATGGGAGATTTCAAGACTAGGGGACACACTTTTAAGGTGAGAGGAGAGAGATTTAAAAAAGACATGAGAGGCAAACATTTTACACAGAGGGTAGTTCGTGAATGGAATGAACTTCCTGAGAAAGTAGTGGGTGCGGGTACAGTTATATCATTTAAAAGACTTTGGATAAGTACATGAGTAGGAAAAGTTTGGAGGGATATGGGCTGGGAGCAGGCAGGTGGGACTAGTTTAGTTTGGGAATTATGTTCGGCATGAACAAATGAAACAAATGAAAAAGTACAGCACAGGAACAGGCCCTTCAGCCCTGTAAGCCTGTACCAACTATTGTGCCCTAATTAATCTAAAAATAAACCTGCTATTTTTCGATCTGTATCCCTCTATACCCTCCCTATTCATGTACCCATCTAGGTGCCTCTTAAATGTCTTCAATGTGCCTGCTTCCATCACCTCTTCTGGTAGTGGGTAGTGCATTCCAGGCTGCTACCACTCTCTGCATGAAAAACTTCCCTCGCACATCTCTCTTAAACTTTCCCCCTCTGACCTTGAACCTGTGGCCCCTTGTAACTGAAATTTCAACCCTGGGAAAAAGCCTCTGACTATCCACCCTATCTATGCCTCTCAAAATTTTGTAGACCTCTATCAGGTCTCCTCTCAGCCTCTGTCTTTCCACTGAAAACAATCCTAGTCTTTTTAACCTTTCCTCATAGCCAAACCCCTGGAGACCAGGCAACACCCTGGTGAACCTTCTCTGCACTCTCTCCAAAGCTTCCACGTCCTTCTGGTAATGTGGCGACCAAAACTGCACACAATACTCCAAATGCGGCCTAACAAGGGTTTTATATAGCTGCAACATGGTTTGTTAATTCTTGTACTCCATGCCCTGGGCGATGAAGTCAAACATGCCCATATGCCTTCTTAATCACCTTGGCCACCTGTGTTGCCACTTTCAGGGAACTGTGGACCTGCACGCCGAGATCCATCGGTATGTTAATGTTCCTCAGAGTTCTGCCACTTATAATATAATTCACACCTAAATTTGATCCTCCAAAATGCATTTCCTCGCACTTGTCTAGATTAAACTTCATCTGCCATTTCTGTTCCCAAGCCGCCAATCTATTTATATCCTGTTGTATACTTTCACAATTGTTGGCACTATCAGCAACTCCACTAATCTTCGGGTCATCAGCAAACTTGCTTATCAGATCACCCACATTTTCCTCCAGATCATTTATATATACTACAAACAACAAAGGACCTAAGACTGATCCCTGTGGGACACCACTAGTTATCGGTCTCCCTTCTGAAAAACACCCTTCCACCGCTACCCTCTGTCTTCTATGACCAAGCCAGTTTTATATCCATCTGGCCAGGCCACCCCGAATCCCTTGTGATTTTAGTTTTTGTACCAACCTGCCATGTGGGACTTTATCAAATGCCTTACTAAAATCCACATAAACAACATCCACAGTCCTTCCCTCATCAATTACCCTCATTACCTCTTCAAAAAATTCAATTAGGTTGGTGAGACATGACCTTCCCCAGACAAAGCCATGGTGCCTGTTGCTCACTGGTCCATTTTCCTCCAAATGCGCGTATATCTTATCCCTCAGTATCTTCTCCAAGAGCTTCCCCACCACAGACGTCAAGCTCACCAGCCTATAGTTTCCTGGATTATACCTGCTTCCTATTTTAAACAAGGGAAAAACATTCACTAATCTCCAGTCCTCTGGACTTCACCTGTGGTCAACGAGGCTATGAAGATATCTGCTAATGCCCTAGCTATTTCCTCTTTTGCCTCTCGGATGAACCTGGGGTAGATCCCATCTGGTCCTGGGGACCTGTCTATCTTAATGCAATTTAGGATTCACAAAACTTCCTCTTTCAATATGTTGACATTCTCTAGAGTATTCACACACTCATCCCTGACCTCAATATCAGTCATGTCCTTCTCCTTGGTGAACACTGATACAAAGTACTCATTCAGGATCTCCCCCACTTCCTGTGGCTCTACGTGTAACTTCACTCCTTCGTCCTTGACTGGGCCTACTATTTACCTTGTTACCCTCTTTCTCCTAACATATGCATAAAAGCCTTGGGATTCTCCTTGACCATGTTTGCTAAAGACATTTCATGGCCCCTTTTTGCCTTCCTAATTGTAACTTAATTTCCTTCCTAATTTCTCTGTACTCCTCCAGGGCTTTGTCAATTTGTAGGTGACATGGACTGGTTGGACCGAAAGATCTGTTTCTGTGCAGTATGGCTCTATGATTCAATGATAGTTTCAAATGTATGGGAAGGTCAAATGTGGGAGATCAGCCAGGAATTTTCAAGATCACTGGGGGCAACATGGTGGCTCAGTGGTTAGCACTGCTGCCTCACAGCGCCAGGGACCCAGGTTCAATTCTGCCCTCGGGCAACTGTCTGCGTGGAGTTTGCACATTCTACCTGTGTCTGTGTGGGTTTCCTCCGGATGCTCCGGTTTCCTCCCACAGTCCAAAGATGTGCAGGTTAGGTGGATTGGCCACGCTAAATTGCCCTAATATTCAGGGATGTGTAGATCAGGAGGATGGGTCTGGGTGGGATGTTCTGAGGGTCGGTGTGGATTTGTTGGGCTGAAGGTCCTGTTTCCACACTGTAGGGATTCAATGAATTGTCAAGTCTGGAGTAACAATAGCCCTGGATGATGGTTTCAGCAGCTGATCAGCCAAGCAGGAGTAAAGTCAGGTGAAGGTGGAAGTAACGAGAGGGTGTCTTGGAGATGGTGTGAATATGAGATTTATTTGCGGACCAGTGTCTTCTATATCCAGTCAGGCGGACACACGGGTGTTACTGGCAAGGCCAGCATTTATTGCCCTTCCCCTAATTGACCTCAACTAGAGTGTGAACAGACTGGGTCAGCCTCAGCAAAGACATGAGGCAGCAGGATAGAAACTGGTGAATGGAGCTTGTAGCAGGCTCTGAGCATCACATTTCAGTCTTCCCGATACCTCATGTAAACATAAGACCTCACTCTGCCACATCCAGGGATGGTAAATATTATTGATCTCAGTCTGAAATCTTCAAGGGTCTGGTGAGGCGTTTTGCTTTAATCAAACAACTGTTTGTTGGCTACTTAGTGGATTTCTGAATTCTGAAAAGTATCCACTTTCTGCTTCGTGGGGCTTTAATTAATAAGAACAGGAAACTGAGCTGTCACATTGGCCATGTCCTTCTGCCCAGAGACAGCATTAGGAGGTGACTACCACTGTGTTTCTCACTTCACCATCACTCACCTTCATTGGATTGGGTCCCTCTAACCACAGCCCCCTTGACTGCAGTGATGAAGACTTTTTCAGATAATGCCCTCCACGCCACCCCCCCGGCCCCCACTCTATTTTCCTGAATGTTTCCACTGGATTTCTGCACAGTTAGTGATTGAAACACCAGGGCAAAGTTCTGCAATGTTCTTCCATTTCTTGAAGAAGGGTCTAGGCCCGAAACGTCAGCCTTCCTGCTCCTCTGATGCTGCTTGGCCTGCTGTGTTCATCCAGCTCTACACCTTGTTATCTCAATGATCTGCAAAGCAGTTTTGCTGTCTGTGTACCTTGCCTTTAAGAGAGTTCACATTTCAGTCATCCACATGCTGTGTGTATACAATGCTGTGACTGTGCCAGTAGCTGGTCTATGAGTTGTTCACACTGAAAGCAATCACCTCGCTGCAATGCCTGCTTCATTGCTTAGAATGTGTTTTACTGCTTTAATGAAACTCAACTGGACTCACCACATAAACACAGTGGCCACAAGAGCAGGTCAGAGGCTAGAAATGCTGCAGCAAGTGACTCACCTCCTGACTCCCCAAAGCCTGTCTCACCATCCCAAAGACACAAGTCAGAAGTGTGATGGAATACTCCCCACTTGCCTGAATGGCAACACTCAAGAAGCTTGACACCATCCAAGACAAAGCAACCCGCTTGATTGGCATTACATCTACAAGCATCCACTCCCACCACCACCGACACTCAGTAACAGCAGTGTGTACTATTCTCAAGATGCACTGCAGAAATTCACCAGAGATCCTCAGACAGCACCTTCCAAACCCACGAACACTTCCATCCAGAAGGACAAGGTAAGCAGACATATGGGAACACCACCACCTCCAAGTTCCCCTCCAAGCCACTCACCATCCTGACTTGGAAATATATCACCGTTCCTTCACTGTCACTGGGTCAAGATCCCCCATCCCCCTCTAATGACATTGTGGGTCAACCCACAGCAGGAGGACTGCAGCGGTTCAAGAAGGCAGCTCACCACCATCACCTTCTCAAGGGCAACAAGGGACGGGCAATAAATGCTGGGCCCAGCCAGCAACCCCCACATCCCACAAATGATTTTTAAAAATGAACTAACCCACAGTGTTTATTGATCCCTGGTCTGTGACTGATCATTAGATCATGATCACTAACTGGAAACGGTGAACAGCAGTAAAAGCCTTGAGCTCATGAAGCCCATCATGATTGAGCAGTCAGGAGGTCAACCTGCAGTGAACCCTCTCAAAGATAAGGCCCACAATCAAACAGATACTTCCCATTTTCCAGCCAGGTGCTTTTATATAGTGTCAACATTCTACCACTACCTACCCTATGCCTCCCCAGTGTCTTCTTCATCCTAACATGAGAGCTGGGCTTCTTGGAGACTGGGTGTATTTCCTCAAATATTAACCCCTTTCACAAAAAAAGGGAGCAGAAACCTCCCTCAAATGGATTGAACTTGGATTGAGCATTCCCCACCCCCCATCCCCTACCCCCAGGGTCGTGAGGCAGCCCCCGAGCTCAGGGAGAAAGTCTTTGAAAAGTATTTCAGCAAACCACACCCTCATGGGAACTGAACGCAAACCAGCAGCAGCATTGCATGACCCTGGTAGTGAAGAGGTTCGAGCTGGTGAGAACAAGTCAGTCTGTGACTATCAGAGTTAGTCCCATCAGGCTGGGCTGGAGTCAGGCCCAAACAGACAATGCTCTTGTACACAAGCAGGGGGTTTAACCAGAAGGCGGGGGTCTAACCAGAAGTGTTTGCTTTTTCTTTTGAAGGTCAGGGGGATCTGAGTTGTCAGATCAACCAGAAACAATTAATGATTGTGGCCGTGGTAAATGAAAAAGTGAAGATTTCATGTGAGTACAGCTGCCACCTCAAACCTCAGCCAGGTAAGCAGACTTCATCGCCAGCAAACCCTGTCAAATTCACCGTGAGACTGTACAAGGACTACCAGAATCAGACTGTCAAATCGTTATCAAGACAAGCAGTTGAACCCCATCTCAATGTGGCCTGGGAGAAGAGAGTGAAGCACACAGGGGATAGTGGAGTCTATTACTGCACAGATTCCTACAGGACAACATCAGGGACACTCCTGCAAGTGAAACGTAAGGAGCAGAGATAAGGGATACCAAGCTCCTGTTCTCACTGAATCCAATTGGTTTCATAGCCCCCATAGTAACACCCTCTAAGAACTTTGCATGTCGCAAAAAGAAAGTCGCCTCCCATTCTTCTCAACTCCAATGTGTACAGGCCCAACCTACTCAACCTCTCCTCATGACAGTCATAAAATCTGAACATCGTGGAATGAGGCCATTTAGCCCATTGAGTCACACCAACACTCCAAACAGCATCCCACCCATACTCATCCCCCTACCCCATCCCTGTAACCCTGCATTTCCCATGGTTAATCCACCTAGCCTGCATATCTCTCGATGCTTCAGGACAATTCAGCGAGGCCAATCCACCCTAACCTACACATCTTTGTGACTGTGGGAGGAAACCAGAGCGGACTCATGCAGACACGGGGAGAACATGCAAACTCCACACAGTCACCTGAATCCTCTTTGGGTCCCTGGCCCTGGGAGACAGCAGTACTAATTGCTGAGCCACTATGCCACTGCTGTTACATCCATCATAGTTATACCCCTCACTATTACCCTTCTCTATTACCACTCCCTGCTCGCCCTCACTGTTATATCCCTCCAGTTACACTCTTACCACACACATAAAGTCATAGAGTCATACAGCATGGAAACAAACCCTTCAGTCAACCAGTCCATGCTGACCATAATCCCAAACTAAACTAGTCCTACCTGCCTGTTCCTAGCCTGTATCCATCCAATCCTTTCCTACTCATGTACTTATCCAAATGTCTTTTAAACGTTGTAACTGTACCCACATCCACCACTTTCTCAGGAAGTTCATTCCACATGTGAACCCCACTCTATGTAAAAATGTTGCCCCTCGTGTCTTTTTAAAATCTTTCTCCTCTCACCTTAAAAATACGTCCCCTAGTCTTGAAATCTCCCATCCCAGTGAAAAGACAACTACCATTAACTCTAACTCTAGCCCCTCATGATATTAAAGGTCTCTATAAGGTCACCCCTCAACTTTCTATGTTCCAGTGAAAAAAGTCCCAGCCTATTCCAGCCTTTTTTTATAACTCAAACCTTCCATTCCCAGCAACATCCTGGTAAATCTGTTCTGAACCCTCTCCAGCTTAATAATATCCTTCCTATAACAGGGGTCCAGAACTGGACACAGTACTCCAGAAGAGGCCTTAAAATGACTTCCCAACTCCTATACTCAAAAGGACTGAGCAATGAGGCAAGTGTCCTAAATGCCTTTTTAACCACCTTGTCTATATGCGATGCAGGCTTCAAAGAATTATGTACATGAACCTCTAGGTCCCTCTGTTCTGCAACACTACGTAAGGCTTTACCAATTATTGTATAAGTCCTTCTCCTTGTTTGTTTTACTAAAATGCAATATCTCACATTTATCCAGGTTGAACTCCATCTGTCTCTCTTCAGCCCATTGACCCAATTGATCAAGATCCCTTTGTAATCTTAGAAAACCTTCTTCACTGTCTACTATGCCACCAGTTTTGGTGTCATCCACAAGCTCACTAACCCTGCCTTCTACATTCCCATCCAAATATTTATATAACTGACAAACAAAAGTGGACCCAATACCAATCCCTGTGGAACACTCCTGGTCACAGGCCTCCACCATCACACCTTGTCTCCTGCCATTAAACTAATTTCATATCCAATTGGCAAACTCACCCTGAATCCCATGTGACCTAACTTTACTAATTAGTCTACCATGCGGAAGCTCGTCAAAGTTTTACTGAAGTCCAAGTAAACAACATCTAGTGCTCTGCCCTCATCAATCTTTGCTAACTTCCTCAAAAAAGCTTCCATCTCCTCAAAGAAGAACAATTCTAACTGCTGCAACCTATCCTTCACTAATCCCTTTACCTTAGGGTCCATTCTGGTATAATCTCCTGCAGCAAGTTCCTGCATCAGGACATGCTGCAGGAGATGATCACTGTGACACAGTCTGACACTCTCTGAACCTCACGGTGCCTGCTCTCATCGCTGTGTATGGTCTCCCACTCCAGATGCTGTTTACGTGAAGACTTCTTTCACCCTGCAGTACATCCTCGGAACTATTTGCATCATCCTGGCATTGTACAGTGTCACTGCTACATTGGTGGTACTCATCAAAAGGAAGGTCAGTGTCTGACAAAAATCATAACTCCCACTTAGGATATCCAGAATTAGAGAGATTGGGAGACCAGGATTATCCTAGGATCACAGAAACTAGGAAAGTTGGGTTATCCCAGGTTTAGAGAGAGATTGGGAGACTAGGATTATCCCATAATTAGAGAGAAAATGGTGTTTGACACGTTTGCCTTCATTGCTTCATCCATTATGTATAGGAGTTGGGATGTTATGTTGAGGCTGTGCAGGACATTGGTGAGGCCACTTCTGCAATACTGTGTCCAGTTCTGATTGCCCAGTTACAGGAAGAATGTGATTAAACTGGAGAGGGTTCAGAAGAGAATTACCAGGATGTTGCCAGATATGGATGGTTTGAGTTGTAAAGAAAGGCCGGATAGGTTGGGACATTTTTCCACTGGATCGTGGGAGGATGAGAGGTAACCTTATCAAAGTTTATAAAATAATGAGGGATATAGATAGAGTTAATGGTAGTTGTCTTTTCCCCAGGGTGTGGGATTTCAAGGCCAGGGGCCCATTTTTAAGGAGAGAGATTTAAAAAAGACATGAGGGGCAAATTCTTTACACAGAGGATGGTTTGCGTGTGGAATGAAATTTCTGAGGTTGTGGAAACTGGAATTAGTCCAAAATTAGACAGAGTCAAGTTGGGCATGGTTTAAGGTTTTGGGAGAATGTCCAGTGAGTTGGATGAGATGATGTGAGCAGTTTTGAAAGCAGGACAACATGTGGAATCTACTGGGTTCTAAAAATGTGGGATCTTCCTGTTGCAGTGGATCACGGAGATCAATCAAGAAAGAGAGTATTGTGAGGGGATCTGGCAGTGTGGCAACAAACTCTGACTTTGAGAGGAAACTGACACAAGCTGGACAAAGGGAGGGCTGAATGATCAGGCCTTGTCATTGTACAGAGCAGAAAGTGAAGCTCAGAGTTATTCTTTCTGTTTCAGGTTTGTAACAGGTGTAAGGTTTGCCTGATGAAACCTGCTAATCCAGACACAGTGCTGCAGGCTCAGGTAAGTGCAAAGTCTGCCATGTGTACCAGAAACAGGCCTTCTCCCAGCCTTATCAGGACTGGACTCATAAACCACCCCAATAATTCAATCCATTGGCCACGTAGTGGATCCAGACACTCCCCCCTAGAAACGGAAAGCCACTGGAATCTTCTTTTCCAAGTGGTACTGGTTTTCCTTCATGTCTCAACAAAGATTTACATTTCTAAGAGTACAGATCAGAGATCATTCGGCCCTTCGGTTTTGCTCCACCATTCAGATATGGCCACACTTGGGCTTCACTTCAATTTCCCACTGTCTCTCTTCTTGATGTCAATCCCAATCTGTTCAATAATGGATCATCCTCTGGGAGGTTGGTGGGGGGTGGAATTCCAACCATTGACGCTCTCTGACTGAAGAAATTTCTCTTCACCTCACTCTGCCATTTAACATGATCATGGCTGACCTTACCCTGGTCTCAACTCCATTTTCCTGCCTGCTTCACATAGTCCTTTATCCGGCTTTTCATCAGAAACGTACTGGTTTCTTCCTGGAATCTGTTGATTGATTCTGCCTCCACTGTGCTCTGGGGCAGTGAGCCCTACAGATTCACAGCCCTCTGAGAGAAGTAGTTTCTCCTCATCTCAGCTTTGAACCAACCTCCTCTCGCTCTATACTAATGATCTCTTACTCGAGACTGTTTGACAAGGGGGAACATCTGTTCAACATCCACCTTATCAATCCCCTTTAGCGTTTTATATACCTCAACCAGATTCCCCTCATTCTTCTGAACTCCAGCAAGTACAAGCCCAAGCTATTCAAATGCTCCTTGTATGACAGCCCTTTCATCTCTGGAATCAACCTGATGACCCTCCTCTGAACTGACTCACCACATCCTTCCTCAAGTAAGGAGACCAAAACTGGACACAATACTCCACACGTGGTCTCACCAACGCCTTATATAACTATAACAATACTCATTACTTTTATAATCCAGTCCTTGTACAATAAATGCCAGAATTTCATTTGTCTTTCTTATTACATGCTGTTCCTGCATACCCATTTTCTGCAAATCATACAAGATTCCTCCTGCTTTTTGTGTACAGGACATACCTGGTCAATTTTCTACATTGGCAGGTAGGTACCAGTGTTGTAACTGTACTAGAAAAGCTTGGCTAGGGAAGCGGCAAGTTCTGGAGCACAGGTCTTCAGTACTATTGCCGGAATGTTGTCAGGGCCCGTAGCCTTTGCAGTATCCAGTGTCTCCAATTGTTTCTTGATATCACATGGAGTGAATTGAATTGGCTGAAGACTGGTATCTGTAATGCTGGGGGCCACTGGAGGAGGCTGAGATGGATCATCCACTCAGCACTTCTGGCTGAAGATTGCTGCGAATGCTTCAGCCTTATCTTTTGCACTGATGTGCTGGGCTATTCTATCATTGAGGATGGGGATATTTGTGGACCTGCCTCCTCCAGTGAGTTGTTTAATTGTGCACCACCATTCACAACTGGATATGGCAGGGCTGCAGAGCTTAGATCTGATCTGTTGGTTGTGGGATCGCTTAGCTCTGTCTGACACTTGCTGCTTTCGCTGTTTGGTGTGCAAGTAGTCCTGTTTGGTGGCTTCACCAAGTTGATACCTCACCTTCAGGTATGCCTGGTGCTGCCCCTGGCATGCCCTCCTGCACTCTCCATTGAACCAGAGTTGATTCCCTGGCTTGATGGTAATGGTTGAGTGGGGGATATGCTGGGTCATGAGGTTACAGATTGTAAGGGGGTTGAGGGGTAAAAACTGGCCCAGGTCATTGAGGAGAACTCCCCTGCTCAACTTTAAAAAGTGCTAAGTGGGATTTTGATTTCCACCTGTGATGTTTAACTCCTCATTTTGAAGATGCTGCGTTCCCTCTGTGCTGAATGGAGACAGTAAATAAAGCAATCCTGCTCTGCCTTTTCTAGTTTCTGATGTTGTGCTCATTCAGAATCCTATGACAGAAAAATTTCTGCCATGTTTATCAGCAGCACAAATCAAAGACATGGAGTGGAATGGGGTAAGGATTTATTCAAAATGTCAATTCACAAAACATCAGAGGTGGAGAAGATTATTTCACTGAGATGTCTGATGGACATGTTACTGTTTGTGATTGATACTCCCTAGGAAGATCTGCACTTTGTAATCAATATGTTACAATCCTCATGGATACCTTCAAAGTGTAACTTGAAAACCGTGTGATTTAATGAAAGGACAAAGCCACAAGACTCTAAGATGTAAAAATCAAAAAAGATTTCACTGTTTAAGGATCAAGTAAAGCAAACACTCAAAATAAGCAATGCTTTGGGTAATTACTTATATGTTAAATGAAAACCAAAACAAAACTCGACTTCCAAGTGGTGGAGGCTGGTACAATTACAACATATAAAAGGCATCTGGGTGGGTATATGAATAGGAAGGGTTTAGAGGGATTATGGGCCAAATGCTGGCAAATGGGACCAGATTAATTTAGGATATCTGGTCGGCATGGGCGGGTTGAAACAAAGGGCCTGTTTCCATGTTGTATGACTCTATGACACTATTTAGACTAAAACCCTTAAGTCAATCTTCCTTTTTCCATTATTTCCTACCTCCCTCAGCTCCCAGAAAGTGTACAACTGTTTATCAGCTTCTGCCAGGGTATCCAGTCTCTCAGGACTAACTTCAAACTTTCCTACAGCCGTCTGGTAAGGCCTGGGAGTATTCATATTGATCCTGACTTCCACTCACAATTCCTGTGTAGTGATTTGACAAATTAGAAAGAACTTCATTGCTGTTACCCTGATGCACAGCAGTTCTTGGCAGATTTTCTTTCTCTCTCTCTCTCTCTCTCCCTGCCTTCTTCAGCCAGAAGAGTGTTTACATTGAGGGCCACTGTAGATTTTTTTTCCCTCTAGCGCCAAACTAGCTAAGTCTTCTAGCCTTTCTTCACTCAAATATAATCTTCAAATTGAGTCTGAGCTTCAGTTCACATCTGTGCTTTGAACAATAAAGTTAATATTTTCTCTGCTTAAAGTGCAGGCCTGGCTGACATTTATCCTTTTAGCTCAACTTGGTAAGCTACAACAGTTTCTGTCTGAACAGTTTGCTTCTGTCTGCAAATACACAAAGATACAAAAAAACAAAGGAACCTCATTAATGTCCTGACTCACCTCCATGGCAATGTGGCATACTGAGATGTTCCAAACAGAAATTTGATCTTTACCTTCCAAATCCCTTTGATTCTGGGACTGACCTGAATAGTTTATACCTCTATCAGAATTAACAATGTTCTTTCCAGACTGTCTCTTTCCACCAAGGAGTTTCCTGTTCATAAAGCTTTCTGATATATGAACTATGTGACTGATGTAGAATCCCTTATGAGGATAACTGTCAACATCTTGTCTCTACCAAGACATTTAGGAGCAATCACTCATTGCATGATGCTTTCACCTTTGACTGTTTTTTGCAAACATAGACAACTCTTTGAAAGTTACTTATCAAAGAGTCATTTACCAATTTCTCAGCCCCGGGTTTTTGTTTAAACTTATCTTACCTTTTGAGACTTGCATTCCTCAAGCAAGTTGTCCCCTTGAAGCAGAAATGTTATGATTTAAGACAGTCACCAGAAAGTTCCACAGGATTACAGTTTGGAATTCATATTAAAGTTAATTTGCCTTTACTAAGTTGCAAACAGGTGCTGTGTTAAAAGAATCATGACAAATATTCCTGACATCAGGTTTCCCTGTTTTCCAGATATCACCCAACTCTGAATCGCAGCAAAATAACAGATCACATAGCACAGAGGATACTACTGAAGATGCCTACATGGTAAGGTACTATTTAATAGGGAAGACAAGTTATTTGGACTCTGTCCTTGTGTCCCTGTGCACACCAAGACTACATTACTGAGTGTGGAGTGTACTACAGTTTGAAGTGTGTTATATACACAGTAAGAGAGGCTCAGAGTGCAGAGGAATTCGGACAGGTTGAGTGAGTGAGCAAGTGCATGAGAGATGCAAAATGATGTGGATAAATGTGAGGTTTTCCACTTTGAGAGCAAAAATAGGAAGGCAGATTGAAAGGCTGTAAATTGAGAGGGTGGAATGTTCAATGAGATCTGAGTGCCCTTGTATGCCGGACACTGAAAATAAGAATGTAGATACACAGGGGTGGCACAGTGGTTAGCACTGCTGCCTCACAGCACCAGGGACCTGAGTTCAATTCCACCCTCAGGCAGCTGTCTGTGTGGAGTTTGCACATTCTCCCCATGGCTGCGTGGGTTTCCTCCCACAGTCCAAAGATGTACAGGCTAGGTGGATTGGCCATGCTAAATTACCCATAGTGTATAAGGATGTGCAGGCTAGGTGGATTAATCATGGGAAATGCAGGGTTTCAGGAATAGGGCAGGGGGGTGGTTCTGGGTGGGATGCTCTTTGGAGGATTGGTGTGGACTTGATGGGCCGAATGGCCTGCTTCCACACTGTAGGGATTCTATGATACAGCAGGCAGAAAACAAGGTAAATTGAATGTTGGCCTTCACAGCGAGTACAGGAGCACTGATGTCTTGCTGCAATTATACATGATCTTGGAAAGACCACACCTAGAATATTACATGTAGTTTTGGTCTCCTTATCTGAGGAAGAATGTTCTTGCTACAGAGGGAGCTAAGCAAAAGTTTATCAAATTGATTCCTGGAGTGGCAAGACTGATGTATGAGGAGAGATTGAGTCAGTTAGGATTGTATTCACTGGAGTTTGGAAGAATGAGGGGAAATCTGAGAGATCTAACAGGACTAGACAGGTTAGATGCAGGGAGGACATTCCTGATGGTGGGGGAGTCCCCTAGTTAGGGGTCATAGTTTAAGGATAAGGGGTAAATCTTTCAGGACTGAGATGAGGAGAAATTTCTTCACCCAGAGAGTAATGAGCCTGTGGAATTCTCTGACACAGAAAGGTGTTGAGGCCAAAACATGGTATGTTTTGAAGAAGAATGTAGATGTAGCTCTTGTGGCTAAAAGGATCAAGGGAAATGGGGGAGGACAGGATTAGGGTATTGAGCTCGATGAGCAGCCATGGTCATATTCAATGGTGTAGCAGGCTCGAAGGGTCAGATGGCCTACCCCTTCTCCTATCTGCTATGTTTCTGTGTTGGGAGAATGAATGGGAGAATCCAGGAAACGGTTAACATGGAGGCAGAAAGAAAATTTAATGAGCTGGAAAGGAGTCAGTACCTTCTCAGTTAGGGTCTGGGTGAGAAAACCAATGGCTGACTGTCACAACCCGCTGCCAAATGTCCAACAAAGGACCCCAACGAGTCACCCCCCGAGGAGGGCAGCTGAGCTGCAAGGATTCATGGGGCATGTGTCAGTATTTACAGGGGGTACCTGGGGAGGGTGGGGCATGTGTCAGTATTTACAGGGTGTTCTGGGGCAGGAGCTAGGGGTGGGGGTGGTGGGGTGGGGGTGGGGGTGGGGGGCATATGTCAGTATTTACAGGGGGTCCCCGGGGAAGGAGTGTACCTGTATTTACTGGAGGTCCCCTCTGGGGGTCAGGCAGTGAGGCAGTATTCAGGATGACCGTTGTATATCTGAGCTCAGAGTCAATGGCTCTCTCACACCGACTGCTGCTGAGTAACACTGAGTTCTCTCAGTCTGCATCTCATCTGCACACACGCTTTCCTTCTGGAGGCTACTATTCCTGACACCTTAGTGACATGAGGTGGAAATCAGAGCTCTGTACAACTGGAAGGTAGGTATCAGTGTATTTGTAACCAGCAAGGATCCCCTCAGCACTTGCTCTTTGTGCTGAGTTTACAGTGCACAGACATTCTAACCCTGGTCTCTCTGAAGATTTGCTGACCTGACTGTAATTTCATATTCATTTCATTGTTATGTAATTCTCCCATTTGTTCCTAATTATTACTCATCCGTTTGTTCTCAGATGGCAATTGTTAGCCCTAGTGTTTGGGGACAAGTGAAGTGACAGCGTGTCCTCTCTTTATGCAGGCCCTGCAGATACACAAGGTATCAGTGTACAGCTCCCTACACAATGACAGATCCAAAATGCAAGCTTCATCTCAAAGAAATAAAGCATCAACGGTTTGTCTAACTTTTACTCCTGAGTCTCACTGTAATTCATTTTGCACTCCTCAGGACTGTTACAAGTATACCAAAGTTGAAACTCTCATAATAATTTATACCACAGGAGAAAAGGGGGATGTTGGTTTGGCAAGTCGACTCTGACTGGCTGTTGGGAAAAGCAACAAAGCTCCCTGAGCTTATCGATAACTCAAACAAGTGCAGGGCTTAGCGTCAGAGTGTTGTACAGCACAGAAGCAGACCCTTCAGTCCAACTCGTCCATGCTGATCTGATATCCTCAATTAATCTAGTCCCATTTGCCAGCATTTGGCCCATATCCCTCTAAACTCTTCCTATTCATGGACCCATCCAGATGCCTTTTAAATGTTATGAAGTTCACTGCCTGGTTAGATAGCTGTGTAGGTTCATGAATCCTTTTTTTTAACCTCCCACATGGTCCCTGCTCTCTCTCTCTCTTCCTCCTTTTTTAAAGATCATTTTTTCCAAAGTTCCAAAACAGCGCAACAGCTTAAAAAAACAATAATTACTGCTCCAGGTATGAGAGGAAATCAGCTCCAACACTGAAAAAACCTCAAAAAAGGAGCAGATCTTACAGCCAAGACCTTTTTCTGTCCTCTATCTTGGATTATCCAAAATCCTTTCTGAACATATCACTTTTGTTTGTACAGGGTGGGTCATAGTATGTCAATGCATCATTTCAAACAAGTGGAAATAGAAGATCATTTTCTCTGTTTTCAGGAGCCTGTTCTAAGATAGTCTTTCTCGCACCTTTTCTCAATTACACTGGAGCTTGAGGAGCCTATAGAACTTAGAACAGTACAGGAACAGGCCCTTCAGCCCATTGTGTCTGTGCTGACTGGCCACTATTGTTGTCAGTTGCTTTCTCCAAGGCAATGCCTCAGCCAATCAGAGTCGACTTGACAACCAACCAGCTTCTCTCCTGAGATAACAGGAACTGCAGATGCTGGAGAATCTGAGATAGCAAGGTGTAGAGCTAGCTCTACACCTTGTTATCTCAGCTTCTCTCCTGAAATGATTTTGAAGTTATTCTTGCATTGAGTCCTGATGAGTGCAAGACAGAACATTCCGGTGACATTATCTCTCTTTCCAATCACATTGAGTTTCTTGCTGATAAAGTAAGTGTGTCTAAACGTTCCCATTCACATTAGTGTCAGGATAAGGGATTCACTGACAGGGACAGTAGTTATTGACCATCTCAATAGGGGGATGTCTTCATTATAGTAGACACACTGGTCCCAACGGTTCAATGGAGAGTGCAGGAGGGCATGCCAGGAGCAGCACCAGGCATACCTGAAGGTGAGGTATCAACCTGGTGAAGCCACCAAACAGGACTACTTGCACACCAAACAGCGAAAGCAACAAGTGATAGACAGAGCTAAGTGATCCCACAACGAAGGATCAGATCTAAGCTCTGCAGTCCTGCCACATCCAGTTGTGAATGGTGGTGGACAATTAAACAACTCGCTGGAGGAGGAGGCTCCACAAATATCCCCATCCTTAATGATGGAAGAGCCCAGCACATCAGTGCAAAAGATAAGGCTGAAGCATTCGCAGCAATCTTCAGCCAGAAGTGCCGAGTGAATGAGTGGTCCCCAGCATTACAGATACCAGTCTTTCCTCCACTTGATATCAGGAAATGTTTGGAAGCACCAGATACTGCAAAGGCTAAGGGCCCTGGTTAACTCCCCACTTGTCTGGATGGGTGCAGCTCCATCAACACTCAAAAAGCTTGATACCATCCAGTACAAAGCAGCCCGCTTGATTGGCACCACATCTACAAGCATCCACTCCCTCCACCACTGACGCTCAGTAGCAGCAGTGTGTACTATCTACAAGATGCCCTGTAGAAATTCACCAAAGATCCTCAGACAGCATCTTCCAAACCCATGACCACTTCTATCTAGAAGGACAAGGGCAGCAGGTACTGGGAACACCACCACATACAAGTTCCCCTCCAAGCCACTCACTGTCCTGACGTGGTCATATATCACTGTTCCTTCACTGTTACTGGGTCAAAATCCTGGAATTCCACCCCTGAGAGCATTGTGGGTCTTCCTACAGCAAATGGACTATAGCCGTTCAAGAAGGTAGCTCACCATCACCTCCTCAAGGGCAGCTAGGGTCCAACAATAAATGTTGGCCTGGCCAGTGTCTCCCACATTCCATGAGCGAATAAAAAAAGCCCACCGGGTGGACATGTTGAGTGGTCTCACTGACTGACCAATGGACTTGTGGCACAGAGGGTCACAAACACCTTGTGTGGACAATGACCTCTAGCACTGTAAAGATCAAATTCCTGCCACCGGGACAGAGGAAAGGGAAACTGGTGACTCGTTTCCTCCGGACTCCCAGATCCCAGCTTGCAGCTCCCCGCTAGGAATGGGAGACTGAGGCTGACATTGGCCTGTTTCTTGCCCCACCACTCGCTGATTGGGATCCACATCCTCCACAATGGTCGACAATTTAGTTGCAATCCTTCTCAGGGACAAGGGTGTGGCCCCTTGGGAGTGACTGCAGCCACAGAGAGCTCTTGCTCGACCAACCAAACACTGACCTTGTCTGTCTTTCCTCCTTGTTTGCAGAGTGCTCAGAAGGTGCAGTCTCAGGCCCAGGAAGATGTTTACGAGTGCGTTTATGACAGTTTCTGAAGCAAAGGTCCCCCATAGGAAATGGAAGGAGGTGCAGCATCCCCCCACCTACCCCAACCACCAGATGCGATCACGGAGCCTGGTGTGAGCTGTACCTATTCCCCAGGCTGTGGCCCTGACACATGGTGCTATTCCAGATGCTGTCACACACAGGATCCCCCTCCACCCCCGAGAATGTGAGTCTGCCTCTGTCAGGGGGCGCAGTGTCAGGGCTGGGCTGACAATTCCATCAAACCTCGTGACCAAACTCCATTGATCACAGGATTATAATGGTGCATAGGAGGCCATTCAACCCATCGTGTCTGCTCAAGCTCTCTGAAGGAGCATCATGACTTTGTGACTATCTCCTGCCTTTTCTCCGTGAACCTCCACCATTCTTTCTATTGAAATTACCCAATAATATTAAAGCCCTCAGTTGAACATGCCTCTGCCATTTTTGCAGACAGTGCATTCCAGCCTTAAATTCCTCACCCAGTGAGAAAAGTTTCTTTCTCACCACATTTGTCCCTTTTGCAAACTACTTCAGATCTGTGCATCCTCCTTCTCAAACCTTTTATCAGCAACAACAGCTTCTCCCTATCCACTCTGTCCAGATTCCTCATTCTATCAAAATCTCCTCTTAGCCTTCTTCTCTCAAAGAAGAACAGTTCCAATCTCTCCAACCTATCCTCATTACTGAAGTTTCTCATCCCTGGAACCATTCCTGTAAACTGTTTCTGCACTCTCTCCAATGCATTCACATCTTTCCTATATCGTGCCACACACAGCTGTACACAATGCACCAGCTGAGGTATAACCAGCATCTTGTACAAGTACAATATCACCTCCTTGCTCTTGTAATTCTGTTTTAACTTTTATTTCATAAAACTGAATTGACAGAATATATACAGGCACACATACAGACACAGTTAAACCTCCATATACACAAATGTACACAGAGCACATGCATTCACTCTTACGGTATTATTCATAGCCATTTTCTTCAGATGACTAGATATCCCACTCTCCTGACTCACTGCCTTTCTCTCTTTTCAAACCTTTAGCCTTTGATCCAGCCATAAATATCAAGGATGCCTTTCAGACGTGTCTCCACATTAAAGTCAGAAAATAAACACAATTTGCGGATATCTCAGTGTGACATTTTCCAAAACTCATCACCCTGTGACCTCAACGATTCAGGGTCCGGGTTGTAGCAGGTATTCGTAAGAACCTAAGAGCTAGGATCAGGAATAGACCATTCATCCCCTCAAGCCTGCTCTGCTATTTAATACAATCGTGGCTGATCTCATCTCGGGCTCAATGGCACTTTCCTGCCCGCTCGCCATAAACCATTCATGGTCAATTGGTTTGCAGGTGCAGCGAGTAATTAAGAAGGCAAATGGAATATTGTCCTTACTTGCTAGTGGGATGGAGTTTAAAAACAGGAAGGTGATGCTGCAGCTGTATAGGGTGCTGGTGAGGTTACACCCGGAGCACTGTGTTGGTCTCCTTATTTGAGAAAGGATGTACTGGCACTGGAGGGGGTGCAGAGCAGGTTCACAAGGTTGATTCCGGAGTTGAGAGGGTTGGTTTATGAGGAGAGATTGAGTGGACTGGGACTATACTCATTGGAATTTAGAAGAATAAGGGGGTGTCTTATGGAAACATATAAAATTATGAAGGGAATACATAAAATAGAAGCAGGGAGGTTGTTTCCACTGGCAGGTGAAACTAGAACTAGGGAGCATAGCCTCAAAGTAAGGGGGAGCAGATTTTAGACTGAATTGAGGAGGAACTTCTTCACCCAAAGGGTTGTGAATCTGTGGAATTCCCTGCCCATTGAAGCAGTTGAGGCTACCTCATTGAATGTTTTTAAGGCAAAGATAGATTTTTGAACAGTAAAAGAATTAAGGGTTATAGTGAGTGGGTGGGTAAGTGGAGCTGAGTCCACGAAAAGATCAGCCATGATCTTATTGAATGGGCCAGATGGCCTACTCCTGCTCCTATTTCTTATCTCCTTATGCTCAATCATGAACGCTGTGAGTATTCCTGATAGTGACATCTGCAGGAAGTGTATTGAGCTTCAGCTGCCCCCCAAACCAGCTTGAGCAACAGCTGGAGACACTAAGGGCGTTCAAGTGGCAGACAGCGTCATAGATAGAAGTGACAGAAACATGGTCATACCCAAGGTGCAGGAAGATAGATGGGTGACTGCTGGACAGGGCAGGCCGTCACTGCAGGAATCCCCAGCAACTGTTCCCCTGTCAAACAAGTATTTCATGTTGGAGGTAACGCAGTGTGGAGCTGGAGGAACACAGCAGGCCAGGCAGCATCAGAGGAGCAGAAATAACACAGTGTGGAGCTGGAGGAACACAGCAGGACAGGCAGCATCAGAGGAGCAGGAGGAACACAGTGTGGAGCTGCAGGAACACAGCAGGCCAGGCAGCATCAGAGGAGCAGGAGGAACACAGTTGGAGCTGCAGGAACACAGCAGGACAGGCAGCATCAGAGGAGCAGGA